ATCTATAAAATGTAGAGATAAGATATAGGAGGAGCCTGTGTGTCAGGATTTGTAAAATAAACCACTTCTAAAAAACAATGAACAGGGTCAATTCACTAAAGCTTAAAAGGAGAACTATGGGGTCGGGGCTTTTCCCCATAGTTCTCCTAAGGGTAACGGGAGGACACAAACTAGCGTCCTCCCGTCACCCAAAGATCAGTATACCGCGGTATAGACGCCGCAGCCGGAACAGAGCCAGACAATTCTGTCTGGATCCACCCAGCTGCGTGACTGACAGCTGGCTCTGCCTATCTAGAGGCAGAGCCAGCTGTACCCACCCCCTCCCCCGTCCGTTCCGCCAGTCAGCGCTGCAGGATCGGACAGGGGAGGGGGATCACTGCAGGGAGCTGTGACAGCCACGGCTCTCTGCAGGGAGATGATCGAGAAGTGAGCGAGCGCCGGTATGTGTACGCTCACTTCCCGATCTACTGAGCCGACCTGTGACAGTCTCATTGTCACAGGTCAGCTCAGATTATGAGGCTGAGTGAAAAGCACCCCCCTCATAGTTCTCCTTTAATGCAAGTGGTTTGTCATCAGCCATTTCGCTGCTTTTTTTTTTTTTGTATTCTCTAAAAGTTCTCACAGACTGTTCTTCCGAATTGAATGTAACATTTTTTTTTTCAACTTTATATTAACGGTATGATTTTTTTTTTTTTCTGCATGCCTATATGCACTATATGGCCAAATATAGGTTGACACCCATCCGAAAGATTGAGTTCAGTTGTTTCCAGTGAAGGATTCTGTTTATTCTACATCATAGAAAGACATTGTAGACAATTGTGCTCCATCAACCTTCTGGTGAAGGACCTTTCTGTTCCACCATGACTGACTCCAATGTACAAATCCAGCTGCATAAAGACACGGTCTGACCAGTTTGGTGTGGAGGAACTAGTGTCCTGCACAGAGCCCCGACCTCACAAATGTGCACAAATTCCCACAGACACCCTCCAAAATCTTGCGGAAAGCCTTCCCAGATGATTTGAGGCGGTTATAGCCACAAATTGGGCAACTCTACATTAATATAATGGGATGTCCAAGAAACTTCTATACTTGTGATGGTCAAGTGTCCACAAATCTTTGGCCATATCGTGTAAAATAAAACCGTTGATTCATATGAAAAAGTCATGCAGTGGTTATAATATTTCTTATTAAATATAAATGCACATCTATGCAATAGTTTGGCAAGTGAACTGAATATGAGGAAATGGTCAATTAAACACAATTGAAAACACTTGCGTAGCATAGTGAAGTAACACGCATTTCTGGCAAAGGGTGGAAAGTCTTAAAGGGATTCTATCAGCTTAAAAACCTTTGAGGGAGCGCACCATTGTCCAACTCACAAGCCGCATACCTAATTCCAGGGTAGTGATGCAGTAGTTCGGCATTGACAGAGGACAAGTCTAGGTACCAGTATTGCCTGTGACCTCCCTGCAGCTGATCCTTCTCCTCTTCCCCCTGCCCCATTAATGATTTGCCATGCCTTGTTTTACGGTCTCCATATGGAAGCAGCCATCTTGGTAGCGGCAGGGTTTCCTTCCTTATGTCAGCCTCCCGCAAGAACAGTGAGCCGTACAGTAGTGACATTACCAAATCTCACTCCAAATCTCCTGATTTGCAGTCAGCGTATAGTTTTATATACAGAAAAGTCTTAAAGGGATTCCATCAGCTTAAAAACCTTTGAGGGAGCGCACCATTGCCCAACTCACGAGCCGCATACCTAATTCCAGGGTAGTGATGCAGTAGTTCGGCATTGACAGAGGACAAGTCTAGTTACCAGTATTGCCTGTGACCCACCCCCCATTAATAATTTGCCATGCCTTGTTTTACTGTCTCCATATGGAAGCAGCCATCTTGGTAGAGGCAGGGGTTTCCTTCATCAGGTCAGCCTCTCGCAAGAACAGTGAGCAGCACAGTAGCGACATTACCAAATCTCACTCCAAATCTCCCGATTTGCAGTTAGCGTATAGTTTTATATACGGCACTTAAGAAAATAAATCCCCTTGGCATTTGCACTCAGTCCTGCTAAGCGTCCATCTCATCCAAAGCAGAGATACCTAAAAGCATTAAAAAAGGGTGAGAGAGGGCGTAGACGAAACTTCACAAAAGGCTGCAAATTTAACGGCACCGTTTTATAGCTTTTGAATGTCAAAAATTACCCATCAACATTTTTTCCCCCCTCCAGCAGTAGCGAGTATGAGGAAGTTGTGCCGTCCCACAGTCAAGTGCTCTTATTGGGCAATTTAACAGTGTTTGCATGTGACCAGCACAGTGCATCGTGACAGGTGAGGGGGTTACTGGATGAGAGATCGGCTTCACATTAGACAGCAAAACAGGCAGCAAAGTCTGGTCTAAAACTTAAAAAGCGAATTCTATATTCCAACTTTGGATTCCAGTATTATCAGATATGCAATGCGTTCCCCTGGGAATCACCTTGCTTAGAATCCAGGGAAAGGCTCAGGTTGGTGGCTACAGAAGTTAAAGCTGAACTCCATGATCAGCAAATGGTCCAAATACAAGATCCATGTGAACCCTTCTGTGAATCTGTGTGCTTTGCTCATTTCTTCCAGATGTGTGCAGTAATGCTTTGTGAAACTTTGTGCAGGAGCTTCCTGTAATAAAGACCACTCTCTGCTGCTCTCTCTCCTTCTGCAGGGTGACTGGTCTCCTCTCCAACCCCTCCTGTAATAAAGACTGGCCACTGCTGCTCTCTCTCCTTCTGCAGGGTGACTGGTCTCCTCTCCAACCCCTCCTGTAATAAAGACTGGTCACTGCTGCTCTCTCCCCTTCTGCAGGGTGACTGGTCTCCTCTCCAACCCCTCCTGTAATAAAGACTGGTCACTGCTGCTCTCTCCCCTTCTGCAGGGTGACTGGTCTCCTCTCCAACCCTTCCTGTAATAAAGACCGGTCACTGCTTCTCCCTCTCTCTCCTTCTGCAGGGTGACTGGTGCCCTCCTGTAATAAAGACTAGTCACTGCTGCTCTCTCTCTCTCCTTCTGCAGGGTGACTGGTCTAGTCTCTGCCCCCTGCTGTAGTTATCTGTAGGCAGCCTATAGTTGGTAAGGCCTGCTGGGTCCCTCCCACAGCACAGGCTATATACAGTACAGTGATGTTCTACAAGGTAATAACTGTTTGCAAAGGCATTTGGTGCACAAAGTGCATTGGTATGCTTTTGTGGTTTAGAGTATCCTTAAAGATTTTTGTGCCTGAAGTTCAGCTTTAAAACAAGTTTTAAACATTTGACACGTGGTTCTGTCACACGGGGATGACTATAAAATGTAGCCCCAAAAAAGTGTCACAAGATCAGAGATTTTAACATTCGTATTCACAACACCATTACATGGCATTTACAGTTTAAAAGCCGAACCCCCAATAACAAATAACTGGTAACAGATCTCTCCGCAAGCTGAAATTTAGGGAGACCAGATTAAGACGCTCTGGTGGTGGCACATCGACCTGCTGATAGTTACCAATACAAAAAACAAAAGCAGATAAGATTCAAGGCTATAGTGAGTTGCGGCAACTGCAATTGTTTTTGGCGCAGGCTCGTTATCTGCTACAATGCATCATATGTGCACAAGAAAAATAAATAGTTTAGTTTATAGAAAAGGGCACTTTCCCCACTTCAAAGAACTCCAGGAACAGAATTCCTCTAGACCCGAGTGTACTGAGTGTTAGGTGCTATTTACACGTATATCCGTAGTCCAATCTGAAGTCCTCCAGCTCCAACCTTTGGGCCCCACCACAGGTCTACGCTCCTCTATTTGCCAATGCCTGCCTAAAGCACCTTAGTCCACTCCGATCCAGAGAGCTTGCAAACCTGCAGTTCTTGTCCAGAAAAATGCCGCTCCTTTGCTACATATGCAACTAGCTTGCACACTGCATTAATTCTACAACTTCATAATCTCATATCTACATTCGATACCGTAGTAGTGTCTAAAGACTGTTTTAGGAAAAGCTGGAGCCAGGTAGAGAGTCGTTGCCAATGGCAGCCAGATTCTGCTTTATTTTTTTTTTTCTCTTGGTTTAGCCCCAAAATGGTTGCTATGGGCAACCACCTTATGCCTTGCACAAATCCAAAAGGAAAAGAGCAGCTGCACCGTGAACAAAAATTAAAGCGGGGCAACAATTAAATCCGACAGCATGAACCGAGAGGGCCCTGCTTGGGATCTCCAAATTGACGCGTTTTATCCACAAGGTTGGGTTTAATTGAAGAGGTGAGGAGCAGGCAAGGAGAGGCACACAGCCTAATTTGTATTTTACTACACTTAAAGCAATACCGATTACATTGTGTACAAGCCTCTCCTTACCTCCTGCAACTCACCTCTCCGATTAAGCCCAGACTTGTGGATGAAAGTGGTCACAGGAGATCCCAGGCTGGTCTTTTCCTTTGGATTTGTGCAACCTGTGGGGCATAGAAAAGCCCTTGCTGGTATTCAGCACTCGACCTTCCATGAGGGTAACCTGACTTATACCTCATACCTTGGTTCCTACCTTCATAAGGCAGCCTTGGGAAGTCATGGTTACTCTATACAGTGTCCATCTAATGTCTGACTGAAAGGCAACATCTGAACGAGTCCCAATGATGGCAATTTCGGACAATTTAAAAAAAGAAAAAAATAATTAACCTGAAGCCTGGTTCCTACAGGCGTCAGACACTTCTGTTTTTTTTTATACATGGGCCACTGTAAAATTTATTTGGTGATCTCAGGAACCGATTGACAATAAACACAAAATATTTTCCATGCGGGAAGCGAATGTTTCACAGGATTCTCCAGCACCAGGAAAGCTTTGGATATTCCAATATTTACAATAGCTCACATGTTCCAGACACTGAACCTTGATCATACACAAAGACTGGCATAGAAATATTTACAGCGTGCAGCTCAGAACGCTTAGCGAGATGGATCCTGGACAGAAGCTTGATGAGAATTTTTTTTTTTCTTTCTTTCTTAAAACCAAAAAAAAAAAAAAATCAGAATTCCTCTTCTATGCTTCTACAGAAATGTTACACAGGGCCTTTTTGTTCACTGGTCGTGTAATACTCTACTGAAGATGGTCCAAAACAATCTTGTGCCATTCAGTCGTTTCATTTTAGAATGATGTGATATCCAGAACCACTTTCAGCTAGGAGGGAAAAAAAAAATATATATAGTATTCATTTCTTTATAAAGCATTACTTTTTAAGAAATTAGCGTTTTCTGGACTGACCCAATTTTAAAACGAACTACAACCTCCTATCCCAGGGGCAGGCAACCTCAGGCACTCCAGTTGTGGAACTACGGGTCCCATAAGGAAGGCTGAACCACAGACATGCTGTGGTGGAACTTCATCATGCCCGAGTGCCAAGGTTGCCTACCCCCGTCTCCCTTACATCACATGTTTTTGCCTGAGGAAGGGGATCCTGCGTGACCCCGAAACATTGCTTCAGTGTGATATGCTGCACCCACGCCAATAAACAGACCTATTTAAATTGCAAATGGAGTGCCGGTGTCCCTGTTTCCACATATGCATTTAACGGTTGCCACGCGTTGACTACCGCAGCATCCATCCTTTCATGGAAGAAGCGGTCAGGAGTGCGATGGGTTCATTAACTTTTCCCTTACAGGCCATCTTGGCCTCTATATGGATTGCAGTTGCCATGGTGCTGCATGTGACCAGCTATGACACAAGCCACTTTAGGGCATGAATGTTTGGTTGAGAGCTGAAACAGACAGGCAACCTTCACAGCTGGCTGCTTTTGGAGACATTTAATTGGTTGGTAAAGTTCTAAAT